ACAAGTGCTGAACCCTCTGCTCCTAGTGACTTCAAATGCACAAGGGCTCTGTCCCTCTGAAAACTAGAGCCAAGCTGACTCAGTCTGGGCATCTAAAAACTGGGGCAGCCCAACTCAGTGGCCTAAATGTCTATCTTTTTCACATGCTGACACACAGCCAACACTTTGTACACAGATGGGCTGATCTTTCCTCTTAGCTCAACCATGCTGAAAACTGTCTCAAAGAGATGTGAACTCTGCTTTCTCTTCCACCCCATTTACCTCAATGAGGTGTGAACTTCAGAACCTCTTTGGGACCATTTATGTGTTAATGGTACCAAAGCACAGGCAATTGCCTAGTCTCTCTCCTTTGCCTTTATAAAAAAACCTATCACATGCAACCCTCTGGCCCCTACAACAGCACAACTTAAAGAGGGCACAGTTAAGCCAAAGAGAGTCAGGAAATGTGAAAAATTAAGTACCTACAGTAACATGTACATTTTACAGTAAACATGTAATGAAACAACCAAAAATGTAATACACCAGATTTTAAGAAGAAAAATAGAACTAAAAATGCTAAATATGTGCAATGTATCAAAGTTAACCTTTTAGAAAGAACCTTAACTTCTGTATTTCTTGCTTTTTAAAATTTCCACTGATTTTTGGAGTGCTGGATGAGTTGGGATTACCAGTTGCAACTCCTCCCTCATACACATGTTGTGCATGCATTGATATATGTTTTGTTTCATTATATGTTTATATTTTATATAAAAATAAAGTTTTAAAAAATTTCCACTGTGTGTCCTGAACACCAGTGTTTTGCATTTCCTAATAAAAGACCAATATTTGGTGTGACAACAATAATAGCAGTTAGGGTGCTACAATCCAATACAAACACATATCAAGATCAGGTCCCAGGACTTTTGCTTTCTTTTTTTTTTAAAGGAAGTCTGAACTTAAACTGCACATCAGCAGTTATGATGAACTGGGAAATATCTGTACCATTTGTTATGAATATGGTGCAGGCTTCTGCATGTTTGGTTATTGTCATAACTATAAAGGGAAGGGTAACAGCCCTCCTGTGTACAATACTATAAAATCATTTTACCTGTAAAGGGTTAAGAAGCTCAGGTAACCTGGCTGACACCTGACCCAAAGGACCAATAAGGGGACAAGATACTTTCAAATCTTGGTGGGGGGGAAGGCTTTTGTTTGTGCTCTTTGTTTTGTGGGGGAGTTCGCTCTTGGGACTAAGAGGGACCAGACATCAATCCATGCTCTCCAAACCTTTCTGAACAAGTCTCTCATATTTCAAACTTGTAAGTACAGCCAGGCAAGGCGTGTTAGTTTTATCTTTGTTTTCTCAACTTGTATATGTACCTTTTGCTAAGGTGTTTACCTCTGTTTGCTGTAACTTTGAACCTAAGGCTAGAAGGGGGTTCCTCTGGGCTCTTTAAGTTTGATTACCCTGTAAAGTTATTTTCCATCCTGATTTTACAGAGATGATTTTTACCTTTTTCTTTAATTAAAAGCCTTCTTTTTAAGAACCTGATTGATTTTTCCTTGTTTTTAGATCCAAGGGGGTTGGATCTGGATCCACCAGGAGTTGGTCGGAGAAAGGAGGGGGGATGGTTAATTTCTCCTTGTTTTAAGATCCAAGGGGTTGGATCTGTATTCACCAGGGAGTTGGTGGAAGAGTCTCTCAAGACTACCCAGGGAAGGGAGATAGCCCATTTGGGAGTGGTGGCAGCGGACCAGATTTAAGCTGGTAGTTAAGCTTAGAAGTTTTCATGCAGGCCACCACATCTGTACCCTAAAGTTCAGAGTGGGGAAGGAGCCTTGACAGTTATGATGAAGGTACTTCCTATGGAGTTTAATTAAAGTAACCAAGACAATGGTAAAACAATGACACAGATAAGGTTTGTTGGGGAATACCCCCTAACTGGCTCCATCCAGACTGGAACGGATTACTCTTCCCAAGGTTAAAGCCTGGAATCAAGGGGGACCCGACCCTCAAGATCTTAGAAAAGGGTGGGGGGGTAGCGGGGAGGTAGGAGAGGCTGCTCACAGTGTATCAGTGAAAAGCTATCAGGCTAGCAAACACAGTAGAAACTACAGCACGGTCAGTCTGTTTCCCCCTGCCAGAGATGGAGAGAGCTGGGCTGAGGGGAATTTACAAAGGTGTAGGGATAGCCATGCATAAGCAGGCCATTTGTCTGGTTTTAAACCAGACAGTCCTGCTTTTCTAAATCTTTGTCCCCCGTCCAGTACTGAGACTAAACCACACGTCGTTTTGTCCAGTATCAGACGAGAGACACCGTCATGAAGAGTGCACTGCTCCGCCCCTGCCAGTGTGATGTCGCATGCACTGTGTGAGAGAAGTCACGCCAGCAGGGGCAGGGTGGCACGCTCTTCAAAATGGCACCCCCATGTGGCGTGACCTGGCCCGCACCATGCACATGAGGTCACGACAAGAGGGGTAGGGTCATGCCAGCGAGGGCAGGCCCATGCCGTTCCCAGAAATACCAGAATGTCTGCTACTCCAGGAATGTGTGAGTGGCCATCCTACCCATGCGTGTAGGGGCTTTTTATTGTTTTAACCCTGGGTTCGATGTACTTTGCACCTTTGAAAAATGAATAAAGAAAGCTCTGGTCTGACGATGCTGTTTCTGTATCACTGAAAACATATGCTTGTCACAGGCTCCCCAAGGGAAATTCTTATAGGGGCCAAAACCAAGCTGGGCCTGTGTCATTAGCATGGTAGGGAGTCATGCATCCAGCCTGAGTCTGACTGGACCACGGGGTTCCACCCAGAATGAGGTGTGAGAAGCCAGGCCAGTCACCTGAGGCGTGCCCTTGGGAAGGACTAAAAGGGATAGGAGGCACAGTTAGTTCTCTAGCCTTAACAGCGTTTTCTACCCATCTTTCACTAACACAGCTACCCACCTGCAATGAGGAGCGTCTTCTTTGTACCGTCGGACGATTGAGTCATTTCCTGGAGGTTCTGGAGTGGTGGACATGATACTGTGGTTGCGATTTCTCAGGGTTTGCTTTTATTTTAAAAAGAAAGAAAGAAAATCCATGTTAAGTGTCATATCCATTTCTCATTTGAAAAGTCATCAGTGTTTTGGTCTGGTGCTTTACTGCTAGTCGCCATCTAATATGGACTAGGACAAACTCATTCCATGGTCACAGAGTCCCATGCACATGAGCACACGTCTATATGTTCCAACTGTTCTGTGTTTGTGTGTGTTGTGTGTGTGTGTGCGCATGCGCATTGTGTATAGACATGATATAGTCTTATGTGGCAATGCAAGTGGCTGATTCACTGCAGAGTTTTAGCTTTAGCCTTGTTAAGTGAGACATATGTTGCATTGTGAATACATGTACCAGAGGATACAGAAAAAGAAGGAAAATACATGTCTGCTCATTCTAAATAAACTAATAACACCAGTTCATAAACTATTCTAAACTGCCCTGTAATCAAGACAGTGTAATTCATCAGTGTATCTGACTAATAGTCCAAAGGGTATCCCTATAAAGGCAGCTGAGCTTATTAGGAGTGGCAGAGGGTCCCCCACTGGCTAGCCTAGGCCATAGTTTTTAATTTCCTGGGGGCAGCATTTCTTACAGTGCTCTGGCAAGGTCTTTTGTTCTTCATCAGATCTTTTATTAACACTCTGCAAGATCATCCTCTCTAACTATACCTGCTGTGCCAGTGCTCACATTGTGTATAATGGCATGTCTGCCTTGGGAGATTATGGGGCTACTGCCGAAATGGATTGGTTAGTGTGTGCAGAAATTACCAGCTGCTAGCTGCGCCCCTTCTCTGACCCATTGTTGCTTATGGACACGAAGGGCATGAGAAACTCCAATAGAATTTCAAATGTTCCACTAAAATCAATTACAAAGCAGCCTTTGAAGAAACGCCTCCACCTCCTACACTAAGTGTTAAACGGAGAGATGAGATACGGAGAGGGTGTAAATACCCTGTAAAGTCCTGTTGAAATATATTTAAATAAACATAAGCCAGTTATGTGGTTTTGGGAAAGGTTAATAACGTGGTTCTAATAACATGCTGGTAAAAAGGATTAGGGAGCTAGTGACAGGGCCCTGAGTTTGACTGCAGCTGGGCTGCTAGTGCAGAGCTAGTGCTGGGTTGTGGGAGCTCTGAATCACATTATAGGGAAGGTCACAGACAAACAAGGGGCACCCGAAGGCTCCTTACAATTTTGCCAACTTCACAGCTGCTGACTGAGTTATTGATGGAAACAGGATTGGAGGAACTGGTGTCTGTGCGGCTGCTGCTGGCATCAGCCCCGTCTTCATCCTGTGCTCTGACTGCTGTGCTCACAAATGACAGAGACAAAGGCAAAGGCAGAGAGGGAGACAGACACCAGAGATATTTATATTAGATCCACTTCAGTACAAATTCTTCCTCACATTCCCAACAACATGTAGGATTTTCCACCCATTCGGGCTTATCTTCTGTCTGCCCCTTCATTCTCTTTACTGAATGGGAGATTGAGGGAGCTCTCCTTTGCCTTCTGATTCCAGCACCCTTTCCTGTTGGGAGATGCGCTAAAGCAGGAATGTGCACACTTCTGGGGAGCACTCTGCCCCTCATTCAACCCCCTCTTTAAAACACGTTTCTCCTATGAGGTTCATGAACATTAATCCACCAATTAAAGAAATGTCTTATTTATATAAAAACTTAAACGAGCTGGAACTGGTCATCTGCTCCATGGGTGGAGATTAATCCATCTGCTCATTTAACATACTATGTGTCTGAACTCTACTGATTGTCTGCTTAACACGTAGGCTCCATGGAACAGTGACAATCTCTTCTTCTACCTTCTACCATTCTACTCAGTACAATGCTAAGCATGCTGCCTGCACATAACAAATAATGCACATATTCCCGGCTCAAACCATTTCTTTTTGTTAAGTGTCTGTTAGTTAAATGCAGGCACTAGGAAAATTCAGACAGCCAAGACGCACATGATAATTTGGTGAGATTACAGCTAACTGATGGATATGTAAAAATAAATATCAACAGGGGATTAGAGTAAAAAATGGACTCCATCTTGCCAACAGATAAAGGGACTGTTTAGATGACCCAGTAGATTAGGGGCCCTTCCTACTCAAAGATTCCATCAATATTCAGAATGGTATGATGATCTTTAAAGTAGGTCTAATTTTGACCCTTTTTAAATTATAATCAGATAGAAGATGCCAGTTAAAAGTAGCTAGAAAGCTGAGACTGTCTATGGGACGGGATAAAGCAGTCTATAGAGTGACCATGGATGGAAAGAATGATCAGACAGCCTCTCGTCAATTTGAAATGACGATTAACATCATTTAGTGCAAAAGAAAACTGCTGCTTAGGTCTCTCGGGTTTAGTTCTGAGTTCGCCCTGTTGGCATGTTTGTTAGAACAAACTGACGCAGATGGACTAGATGAGACAGACTGAGACAGGCAATAGGGATACTGGTGCTCTCTCTGACCTTGAAAATCTGATGCTTTGCTTGTATTGATGGGGGATTTAGCTCGTGGTAGCTGAAAGAAAAAAGACAGAAATCAAGCCAAACTCAGGATATGTGTCACATTCACTGTAAAACAGACACCTCCCTTCCTTCCCCTTTGTCACACTGTAGAGCCTATGTGCCCTCATCAAACAGGGCCTGGAGAAGAGTTATTTAAACACCAAATGCACTGCAGTTCCCATATTCTGCAAAGGGAATGACAAAAGATGAAGTGGGTCTCTTGTGACTGGTTTAAACAGGCTGCTCATACAAGAAGCCTCCCTTTGCCAGGTAAAAGGAAAAAAATGGACCTCCACTGCTCCTAGCAATAAAGACAGCCGGGGCTCAGAAAGGTTAGGAAAGACAGAGAGAATTCAGATGGGGACACAGAGAAAGAGCAGCTCATACATTCTATACCAATCTTAGGTAGGTTTTTACAATTCATGAATGCAGTGGCAGCCACAGTCAGCCCAGTAGTCAGGTAAGTCAAGGACCTCAGTCATGCTGCCGCTTATATTTGAATAGGTAGGACATGCTTCATGTAATTCTGAATTAGCTAGCTAATTATGCTCCAGATTTTGTTCATTTCTTCCGATCGCAGGGCCGTCCAGAGGATTCAGGGGGCCTGGGGTCTTCGGCGGCAGGTCTTCAGGGCATTTCGGCGGTGGGTCCCGGAGCGGAAGGACCCCCCCCACCGTCGAAGACCCAGAGCGGAAGAAGCTCCGGGGCCCGGACCCCACGAGAGTTTTCTGGGGTCCTCAGAGCGAGTGAAGGACCCCACTCCCGGGGCCCCGAAAAACTCTCGTGGAGGTCCCTGTGGGGCCCGGGGTCTGGGGCAAATTGCCCCACTTGCCCCCCCCCCCCTGGGTGGCCCTGTCTGATCGTTCCTTCCAGACGATGCCAGCTTTTCCATCAGTGCTGCATTTTCCATCAGCCATTCCACACATACTGGGCTTAGGGCATTAAACCAATTGTCAAGACGTACTTTTTTCACTACTATTAAAGAGGCAAAGATCCATTTTATTGAAGCCACAGTGAGAATATAAATGAGCAGCATGAGTATGGAGCGCATAGGGGAGGAGGAAAAGGGGGCAGCAATTTTCCCGCAAAACCTGATTGCTTTCCCCCCGCACAAAGCCTGACTGTATCTCCTCCACAACCCATCTGAACTACACAGTTCTGGCCTCAGATTGGGACACACCTGGATTCCCTTCAGGTTCATTCTTCTCTTAAGTCGAGACTGATCAAGGAGGAAGAATTTATTGTCTTCTGCTGACTCTTCAGAGGTGGAGGAGTCATCTGCTTCCTGACCATTGGCTTTGGGGCCAGGAGCACCAAAGGTCTGGGAAATAATGGTAACCGGCAGATTCCTTGGTAAACTCTAGAGATAAAAGAGAGATTTTAGTGACCTTTTGCTGAAGGCTATTGCCAAAAGCTTAGCACTACTTCTGGTGGCCTCCCTTTAGTACATCAGGCGGGGCTGCCTGTGGACCGAGTGAGGCCTGCATGCTCAGTTGTCATGGTGTTCAGGCCACATTCCTGTAGTTCAAGTGGTTCAGCCGCTGTCTGTTGACCAAATAGATTGTGGTTCAGGTCTCAAACTAGAGACTGAAACTGAAATTCACAGAAATTTCTGTTCGTCTTTAGCATTAGTTCATGGCCCATAACCAGTTTACCTATTTGCAAACTTCATTAGAACTAGCTCCTCAGAAAGAGTTGTTAGGAGTTTCCTTCCCCAGTATGCAAGCAATCCACCCTCCACATTTCCTCCTCTTCCATTTAGCGTCAAGGCTCAGCAGAAGTGAACTGCCAGTCTCTGAGAGACTATGTGGGTGGCAGAGCCAAGTTCCACCCCTTAGCCCTGGAGGGCTTCTCACACCATTGAAGTTGAATAGAAGAGAAATTTCCCTCAACTGCTTTCTTCAGGCTAGCACTTGCTGCTCACAGAGGGAATAAAAATAAAATCCCATCCTCCTCTTCATCATGCTGTAACTGAGACAGCCATGAAGGGAAGAGAGCACAGCTAGTTCTCCCTCGCCCTACCTGGTCATGACAGTTCTCCTTAGAGAGTCGTCGGAGTTTGCACTCCAGGTTAACAATGCAAGCCTCCTTCCGGACTGCCTCGATCCGAAGTTCATCGTTCTTCTCCTCCAGCTCCCGGATCTGCTTTCTGTACTTGTCCTTCTCAATCAGGCACTGTGAGTATTGGGTCTGTGCCTCATCTCGGGAACGAAATGCCTGCAGAGGAAGGAAAACACTGCTTACCCATGTGCGCCACATGGGTTCTCATCTTAATTTAGATTGCACAGTCTTTGGGACAGGGACTGTCTCTTACTGTGTGTTTGTACAGCTCCTAGCACAATGTTTGGGACCTCTGTGCACTATAGTAATATGATTAATGAAGATGATGATGGCTGACAACTTTTAGTTGGCAGCAAATGTTGCAGAGTGCTAACCAAAACCCTTGACATTAATAAGCAGCCTACTGTGTTGCCATTAAAAAGTCAGCACCCACTGGCAGCTGCCACAGAACCTCGAAGAATCTCCCTATGCTTAGACTAGTAGATAACAGTAGTATGGCAAATGCCACTATCTAGCAAGTGTTTACTTTTTTTAATAGCAACCACTATATGTAACAAATGTAGTGATACTTTGGGTCCAATTACCCTCAATTCCCAGAGGTGGCTTCCAGCAGAAACAGAAGAAAGAGAAGATCCAATTTCTCATTGTTACTTCCCCCGCTTCAAATGTGACGTACCTGGTCTCGCTCCTTCTCCACCTCCTCAAGCTGTATCATCACAGTGGTCATACGGTGCTTGTACATCTCACAGTCTTTCCCCAGAGTTGAGCACTTTAATTCCAGGTCTTCTTTCTCCTCAAGATACTGCAAATGACACAGACTAATCAATACAAGCTGTACATCAAAGTAATCGGGAGGTCTACCCTGCTGCATGGAGGAGATTCCTGTTCACCTCCAGGTGTGCACTAATCTATACATTTGCTTACATAAGACATAGACACATATGGCTAGAGTGAAGCCCCGTGCTGAAAAGGCATGGCTGTGAGGAAGCTCAGACTGCTGCAGTCCAAGCTGATGCTGATGGGGTCTTGTTGTAAATTACTCCCACAGCAGTGAATGTTGTCTATATGAAAAATAATTGGTTTGAAGGAATTGCACCTGCCCTGTCTGGATGACCCTAGACAGATTCATGTGAACAGCTGACGATGGGAAGGGAGGACCAAACCAAATTGCTACTGTACTTCTCCATCAGCAGTCACCTGCAGGTATCACTGGCCATCGCAATCAGAGATCCCTCAAAGAGATCTGATCCCATTCTTTCAGTCCTGTCTTTCTCTCACCTTGTCTCTCAGATCCTCCACATGACGGATCTCCTCCTGGAGATAAAAAATCTTGTTGACCAGCTCCTGGCGGTCCTCTAGCGCCTCCTTACGGTCATGCTCCAAGATATCCAAGATGGCTTTGTCCGAATCTGGCAAGCTACGTTTGCCAGCCTGAGGGGACAAGGTTTAAAGATATAGGACAGGAGGAGAGAGAAAGAGAGAAAAAAAGGGATGCGGAGAAGAAAGAAACAGACAGACAGTAGAAGAAAAAGAAGAGAAAATGAGATTGCAGTGTGAAAGTAGGAGAAGGGAGGGATATTTGTTAATGTTTTGAAAGCTGAACAAAGCCCAGCTCACTGTCAGAATGGCTGTGGAGAAGGGGTTATTTTTATTGGATCTGATATAATTTGATACATTTTGGATGCAGCGACAATGAGCAGCCGCTCCTTTGCTCCAGGCCCTGCATTCAAAACCTCTCTCTATTAATCAGCCCACTGAGCACAGAGTTTGCCCTTTGCCAAGGAGCAGGGCCCAAGAAAACATGCAGAGGAATTTTTAAAACATGCAGACTTTGCATGACTATGCTTAATGAATATTAAACACATGCTTAGAGTCACCAATGCCCCTGCCTAGAACTAATACTTCATTTTCTACAATGTCCAGAAACTTTCTTTCCCCCTTTAGGAATTAAAATTAACAAGATGACTGTGGGAGAAATAAATTGCAGCCAAAAATAACCACATAAACCAGGAATCAAAGACAAAAAGCTTAAGCAAGAAAATGCAAATTTATTTTAAAAATACTTATACTAAGTTGGAGAGTCCACTAACATTTTGATTACTGAATAAAATAAGTATTTCTAAAATAAGTTGGCTTTTTGTTATTTTGGGTGTGTTTTGTTCCCATTTTTAGGTAGTTATTTTTTGGTCGATTATTTCATTATTTCCTTGTGCGTCATAGTAATCATCATGTTAATTTTTAACAGCATACGAGTCTTCAGATTAGACTACGTCTCAAAGTAAGCTTAGATATTATACCTTTTTTAAGATTTGAGCTTCACCTGGTAGAAAACTAAGGCCTGCTCTATACTAGGAAATTAGGTTGGTATAACTACGTCGCTCAGGGGTGTGAAAAATCCACACCCCTGAGCGACACAGTTAAACTGACCTAATCCCCAGTGGAAACTGAGCTAGGTCGACGGGGGAATTCTCCCATCGACCTACCTGCTGCCTCCCCTGAGAGGTGGAGTGCCTACATAGCATAGGTAGTGTCTTCCTGGAAGCACTATAGTGGTGTAGCGGTTTATGGGTAGGCAAGCCCTAAAACTTTTTAGGCACTGCCAGAGAGGCTACAGCTGGGCTCTGGCATAAGAATGAGTTGAGAATCTTTAAAAGGCGTCATTCTAAAAAGGAAAATCTGTTCCTGCAAGGTGCTAAGCACTCGCACATTGAGATAGATGCTGGGGTCTGGCCAAGCCCTGCTTAGCACATCACCTGAAAAGGAGGGCTAAGGTGGCTGTGCCCTCCTTTATGCCCTTCCCTTACCTGGAGCTGGCCACCCCTGGCGAAGCCCCCAATGCCAGTTAGAGCAGTTTTCTGCAATAACCCACAAGGAGGTCGTCTCAGTAGCTTGTGACTTCTGGAGCGCAGAAACATTCTGACCAGGCCTCCTTTCCCCAGTCAAATCCCTTACTCCAGCCTGGGTGATGACATAGGACTGGCTGTGCAGACCCTACATCAGGAGTATCTAGGGGAGCTAGTTAAAGGGGTTTTGCATTGGTGAGCTGGGGCAAAACAACTCCAGCAGAGCCAGGATTTGGCTCATTGATTTCAATAGGAATCGAGAGGGCTCAGCACTTCATAGCAGACACTCAGCACCTTGCAGGATCCAGCCCTTTCGCTTGTGCATCTGTTTTATATGGGGTAATCTGTAGAAAGTTGGGGGCTGTGCAACCTTTTGGTCTTTGCAAACTTTGTGATTGGGTTCATTGTAGTTCTAGGGGCACAGCTTCCCCCCACCTTTCCCACCAGTATAATGGGCGTGTGTACTGATTTCAAGGCACAGAGTAAGAGGATGGGGCATCATTCCTCCTCTGGCTTACCTGAATGATAGATTGTAATTCTTGGATTTTGGTCTTCATGATCTCATTCTCCCGCTCCAACTCCAGAACCTGTTCCTTCTTGGGTCGGTTTTCAATGTCATTCTTCAGCTTCAGTGACTGGTTCCTCTCCAGCTTGCATTCCTCCTCCATCTTATTCAACCGATGCTTCAGCTGGTCAATCTAGGACACCCCAGGAACCAATGAAAAGCAGAAAGAGGCACAGGGAAAAAAAAGATTCTCCAAAATACATCAAGCCTCTGTATATGCGTCTCTAAATACATCCTCACCTCTAGTTGAGTGCACACAAAACACGGACTTCATGCTCTTGGGGTGGTTAATTCCCAACAGCTCAATACAGTGCCAGCATGGTATGCTGGAACTCTTGGATAATCCACCATGAAACTTTAGTGCATACTTGGGTAACTGCCCCAATATATTATTGATGCTGAAAAAACAATGTTTTTCCTTTCTCCATAGGCTGGGAAGTCCCATCCCTCAGAGGGAATCTTACACTAATACACATCATCTCCGCTTAACATTTCATTATGCTGTGAGCCTCTAACCTGGATAAGCAAAGCAAGTACGAGTTCTACACACCTTTAGCATAATTGAAAATACCACTGAGCCAACTGCCACACTTCATGCTCCATCTGTGATTTATACCCAAACCAATCCAGAGCATCTCTTTTACCTCTAGCTGGAGGTCCCGGCTCCTCATCACAGCCATGTTCTTCTCTTCGCTCAGCTGGGCGTATCTCATGGCCAGGTTGTAGTTCTCATCCTTCACCTTGATCAGCTCATCGTTGTAGTTGTTCCTTTCCTCCTTCATCTTGTTGTATCTCTCCTGGAAGGTCAGCAACTCTATATTGTTCAATTTCAGCTGCTTCCTGTCATCCTCCAGCTGGCGGGACTTGGCCAAGAGTTCACAACGCTGCACATCCTTTGTCTTCACCTGCTGCTGTAGCTTAATGATTTCATTCATTAGGAAATGGGTGAGACCCTCATGTCCCTCCTCCACTGAAAAGAATCAAACAGCCCATCAGCTCCAAGAACCATGGCACTGCTCTGGAGCAGGTTAATAATGTGGGTTCAGGCAAAGTTGGGACAGCACAGGTGGGGAACAAACAAATGCACATGCACACACACACACACACACACAATGAAATATACAGACACAGTCAAACTCACTAGCAGACACACAAATACCATACATAGACAATACAATCATACATATATGCACCCCATCATATATAGAGTCACTATACACAGACACATACGTATATTTATATTCATACATGCACATGTTCAGAGTACACACAGACAGCATATGTAACTGCATATGTACACTCAAACTCATCAACTCAGTCTCCACACACATTCTAATACACAGGTATATATACTACAATGGTGAATACACACATATCCATGCACCTGTTTTTGGACTTGGTGGAGCAGGTTCATGTACACCCATTGGATCTCAGTTATCCTGGTGCAAATCCAGAGTACCTCTGTCTATTTCAACAGAGCTACCCCAGACTCACACCAGTGTAACTGAGATGAGATTCTGGTCCCTAATGTCTTTCCGTGAGGCACCTTGTAATGACTGCCATCCTAGAAACGGAGGCAGACTGGGTAGCACTCCTACAACCGGGGTGTTGCTTTCACCAACAGCTTAGTCAATGCTAGGCCGTACCAGACCAGAGAGTGAGAAGTGGGAATGAGCTACTACCCGTCACTACGCCTCATTAACACTTCTCATCTGAAAAAAAAAATCAGTCTTATCTCGTGTCTTGACTCCATCCCTTATTTCCTCAGGGACTGATCCTACTCACCGACAATGGTAGAAAATCTCCGTGTGGGCTCCTTCCCCGTCACCAGTTTGTAGAGTTCAGGATAGTAAAACTCCAGGCTTTCTAAGAAAACTACATAGCCCCTTTGACCCTTGGTATGAAGGATGTCCAGCAGTCGGCCTAGGGACAACCCAACAATAGTGCAATGAGAGAGGACACAGGAGTACTGGGAACAGGATAATCAGATATTGTAACCCTGAGGCCAAGCCCGCTCCAGATTTAACGTCGCTGGCACATAAATACAGCGTGGAAAAGCCAGTCTTGTCACACTGTGCGCAGCTGATCTCATGAAGCTATGCCATGTATACTCCATGTTTGTACGGGCTGTTACTCTGAAGGAATAGGGTAGGGATGGTAGCATTTGGATTTGAGCCTTCGAAAGACAGTGGCATTCAACGCAGCCCACGCTGTACGGTACTGAAATGCCAGAATTGCAAACCTTTCCATCAAAAGTGATGCTCAAATCAAAGGGGTGCTGCTGACCAGCCCTGATTGACAGAGATATCTGGGCATCAGGCATGAAAGAGCAGTGGTTGCTGCCTCTCATAACTGAAATGTACTGGCAAATGTAGGAATGAAAACTTGGTGAGCATCAATCTGTACAACACAGGCTTGGCTATAGTCACTACTACCAAACAGCAGTTCATTTTCGTGAACATCAGATTTTCCCCCAAAAATCGAACTGAAAGGGAACAGAGAGCCCTTCATAGATTTTAATTCAATGCTGGGGTCAGGTCAACCCAACCCAGGCAATGCAGCACACAAACTGGTGCAGTCTTGGCCGTTCAGGAAAGAATTACCTGCTCGGTTAATTTTGGAGAGCAGCATATGCGAGTTGAGCACCTCGTCCTCATCTTGCTCGTCGATGACTTTACACTGACGCAGATACGGGGTCAACTTGGCTGGATTGATGTACCGGCTCAGCATGTGCCGATTGCACTCTACATTCTCCCACAGGGCTTCCTCCTCATCTTTCAGCATCTCTAGGCAGTCATCCATTTCTGGCTCTGCTCCTTAGCAAGGGAAACAAATCAGCAAATAAATACAAAGCACTCCGACTCAGGAGGGTTTCAGTCCTGTTTACCATTCTGAGCTGCCCTGTCACATGCGATGAACTCGGCTGCACCTCTCAGGAATGCTGATATTGCCCTATATTAAAAGTGTTTGTGCTGAAGTGCAACCCGTCTTCAGCTCATCTGAGAAGTGACAGCTTAGAGAGGTTCTAGCTAGACTCTGAACGATTGCATATTGCTCAAGCGATGATTCTGCAGCCCGGTTAACACTATGATAGTTCCTAAAAGTCAGAGAATTCCTCTTCTGAATGGTTACTGTGCTGCAGGATGTGTAATGGAAGAAAGGGGCCTGAATTTGCAGAGCTCAGCAGCACAAAGACATGCAGTCACTAAACTATTATGGGGCATTCACTCTCTCCCCTCCCCACACAGGTTTATCTCAGCTTTACAGATGTGAGCATGTACGCTTCAGGTGTATGTGCAATGTGCAGCTATATGTGTGAGTGACTGCATCTGAATTTCCAAAAGTAGATGTATGCACATGCAGTACATGGTGGCTGTCTGGTAATCAGTGCATGGGCATGAACGTAAGTATCTGTGTGCATACAGGTGTCTGTGTGTGTGTGTATGAGTGGGTTTAAATGTGTGTGACACCATCGGAGCATGAAAATATTCTTGACTCATGCAAAATGTGGTCACATAATATTTGAGCTGTTGCTAAACGGTCTCCTGCCAACTTTTTCTTGGTGACCAGCTCATCCAGGAAGGTTTCAGGGCAGGCAACAATGAGGTGAGAAAACGTAGCGAAGTAAGTCAGCACACAGCAAAAGAAATCTCCCAGGCATCAGATAGGAACGCTAGGTACTCTGAATTTTAAATGTTTTTATAATGCACTCTAAGCTTAGCAATCAAGTCAGAGTTAGCCATTCTGGCTGGCTGGACTCAGCCTATCTTCAAGATGTTAACAGCAGCCTCCTATTATTATATCACAGTAGTGCCTGGGAGAGCCCAACCCAGACTGCAGACCCACTTTTCAAACACATAGGCAGAGATCTAAACAGGACAGACAAAGGCTGGAGGAGATGGGGAGCTGAGAGCACAGAGAGATTCAGTGACTTGCACATGGGGCCGTCCATAAATTACATAACTCATTAGGGTCCTTAATCTGTGTGTTTGTTCCAGCATTACAAGGGGGTGGGTGGATCTTTAAAAAAGTCACCGAAAATGTGTTATGTAATTAATGGACAACCCCTAAGTTCACACAAAGAAAGTCTGTGGCAGGAACTGAACCCAGCTCTCCTGACTCCCAATACAGGGCTTTCAACCCAAGACCTTCCTTCCCAGTGATGTGTTTGAGAAAAGAACTTTCTATGTGCATGGCCTACAATCAAATGTAATAAGTGTAAGGAATGCTGCATACAGCAGGTATATTATGTAAACACCACAACACCCTCAGATGGGGAAAGGAAAGGCAGAGACAGTTCCCTTAAAGCTCCTTCCAGGGTGCTCAGATCAAGGATGTGGTAACAGATTTTTGGATGGAACTAGGAGAAGGAAGTGTTCTGGCCCTACTGCAAGCAATCCCCAAAGCACCCTGTCAAGCCCTGAAATCCCACCAGGGATAAAAGGAGGCTAGGGGCTCTATCCAGGAGGTTTCCTTAAGCCAGATATTGAAGGTTTTAAAAGGATGTGATCTAAAAACAATATGCTGTTCTCCAGGTCTGAGAACAAGAGTTCTGCTTGATGAGACTTTTCTTAGTAACTGACTTTTAATCAGTAACTAATTAGCTCAACAGCAATAAACTATTTTCCTTGGGCCAGAAGAGTTCTCGTGAATGCGTTATGACTTCCTCAGCCTCCAGTTTCAGGAACTGCAAAACTGCCTGGGAAACACTGGGAGTCACTGAGCTGAGCCAGCCCTTAGGGTTAGGTCTATGAAGCCTGGGGCTGAAAGCGCCTTCAAATTTGGGAGAACTAGAAATTTGACGCCTTGTCTACGTGAGAAAGATTTTTCTGAATATGTTTTTCTGCTAGAACTAATGCAGAATAACTATAGTGAAGGAGTCTGTACACTGCTTTGTTGATGCCATCTGTGGTCACTTGGGTGCCTTTGGCCGTTGTTACAGTGCCATCCAAGGCCTTCCTCCCCATGCTGGGGTTTGGTGGTGATCTCCCTTGCAAAAATCCAGTCCAGCTCCTCATAGTAGGGACAGATAGTGGGAGCATTACTGGAGGTCCCGTTCTTGTCTCTTGCCAGAGCTCTTTTGTTTTGTAGCAGCACTGGCCTATGTCCCAGGACTACCCTTTCTCCTCCATTTGTTTTTCCTTGCATCTAGTGACTGCTGTTCGGATGGGCCTGGATGATCTATTCTCGCCAAAAGGCAAGGAAGTCCAGAACTGCCAGATGGGAGAACGAAGAAGCACAGGGCATGGCTGCTATTTTGGGTATGCAGCTCCACCACAGACAGGAATTGCAAAGGCATGCACTTGCCTGAGTGCTAACATTTAAAAGAAAAGAGGACACCCATTCAAACGACCCCAAAGCAGTAGAGGGCACACAATCCAGATGTGAAGCTATGCAGTTTCGACAGCAGTGGGAGGACTGCCTGAAGTGAAACAGTTAATCCAAAATACTGCTGTGTCCTAGGGTGACCAGATGTCCCGATTTTATAGGGACAGTCCCGATTTTTGGGTCTTTTTCTTATATAGGCTCCTATTACCCCCACCCCCATCCCGATTTTTCACACTTGCTGTCTGGTCACCTTACTGTGTCCACAGGAACCTTACACTGAAAAACTCATTCTGGAATAGTGGTATTTCACTTCCAAAGCAGAATAATAAGTGTGGGATACAATGCCAGAGAATTAAAAAAAAAAATAGTGGGTGTATGTGTGTGTGTGTGTGCGCGCACGCACGGTAGTTCTTCCCCCCCCCAAAAAAACCCTAAAGTTATTTCTTTCACACAAGGCCTAAGAGTATCTTAGCTTTCATTCTTTTAAAGCTAAATTTCTAGCCCTTTTCCTTGAGAGGATGGACCAAATGTGGGCCAAAGCTTGGACCTAAAGATCACAGAGGAACTAAAGATCACCCTTATATCCACCCAGGGCTAGTCTTTTGCATCCAAAAGCCCAATGCCCCAGATCCTTTGATTTTTGATAGGTTCCCAATAAGCTCAGAGTTGGGCCTCAAGGGGAGCAATATAAACTCTTCTCTGGAGTTCACAACACCCCAGAATCTCTTCCAGCCTGCTCTGTGGAATCAGGAACTGTTACATTCTTTGCCAGTGCTCCCTTGGGACATCACTGAGGGATCCCTCCATGAGACGATTCAAAGAGCGGAGTTCACTCAGCAACACCACTCTATTGCAGAAACGTTTTCATAGGAATTTAAAAAAAAAACCCTCCATCAAGATCCTCCCATTTAGGAATATAAGAACTTCATTATAAAACAAGGATTTACTACACATGCACAAGCCATCAAAAAAATCCTAGAGGAGTGGTCCTCTGTCTCCATACAAGAGCCTTTTGCTTCTTTCTTTACATCTCCCACCTTTGAAGTCCAGCGTGACAAACATCCTTGACTCCTCTCAGAGCTGATGTTTGGTCTATTAGAGGGGCTAATAGTGAGTAAAATACAGCTTCAGGAGCTCAGGGTTTTGCATCGCGGGATTCCTTGGGTCTGATTCTGTTCTTATTTACAAGAGTGTGAACCTGGAGTAACCTTTCCATTGTCTTCCATAGAATTACTCCTGTTGTTCACTGGAAAAACCGAAGGTGATTCTATGACAGCACCAAATGTCTATTTAACTTACTATTTAACCTAATACTCTATAATTAATTAAATACTAGTGAGAGGCTGGAGCCTGGGTGCTCTGGTCAGGAAACAGAGGAGGTCAACTAAAGTCCAATGAAAACTAACAAATTCACTGCATTAGTGGCTAAGAGTTTTAAATGGAGAAGAGACTTCCAGCAGCACACACTTCCTGCATATCTGAAGTGCATTATTCCTTGCCTCTATCCTTCCTTCCTCTGACATCTTTGCAGAGAAGCTGTTTTCACTTAAAATAAAAAGCAATTAAAAATGACAGATTTCAGTGTCCTTGAAATGTATAAAAATATGTAACCATTTATTGCATCTGATCTTTATAAGCATTCTCTAGCATCTGATTCCAGCTCGTCTTGAGTTGTAACCTGACACCTTCAGAGACTATTAAGTACCATGGAAACACTTTAGCATCCATCACAAATCACAGGTGCAAATACACAAACTTGGGCTGACTTGAACCGTGATTTGGCCATAAAGAAATAAGACTATCCACAGCAGTTGAGGAATTGCTCTCCCGCTGTTCCTTTCAGTGTTTAGTATACAAGATATTCTTTAACAGTAGGAGATCTTAATCCAATAATAACCTCCAGCTAGTCCTAACTATTTCAAAGGTCTTCGTAGATTCAGAAGAATAAAAGAGATAATCCCTTTTTACATTAAAAGAAGCATTCTCTTCCTCTCTCTCTCTCAGGGACTGGCCTTCTCCTGGCTGTTTCACACAAATGCACCTTACTATGTGTTTGCTATTTTTTTCTTTTTGTTACAATTTTTGACTGAACAAATCACCTCACAGTTAAAGCTCTTCCCTGGTCTCTCTCAGCCTTCACACTTTCATATGCCAGGGACTGCTTTCCACTGATCAAGGGAAAAAACCTCCCAGGCTTCAGAACCAAGGTTCCATAAAGCACTCATCTCCAGGTCAGATCTAAAGCTTCATTTTTAGACAGATAAAATGCTTGGGGTTTATTATTATTCTAACAACATCCAGTGAATGAGTTTAGCTTTGAACCCTGGGATCTCTTAGTTAGGTGGAAGTCCAAAGGCAGGACAGGCAAGGAGCTTCTCTTAGAAGCAACAAGAACAGCAAGGGAAAAATCATGGGGATGGAGGAGTTGTTATTCTGCAATTCAACTCAAGCGAGCATTGCTAAAACACTGTTGTGGAAAAGCTCCCAC